GGTGGTCACCAGCACCTTGAAGCGCACCCGGAAGGCCACAGGCAACCAGTGCAGCCCGCGCAGGAGAGGTGTCACATGGGTGCTCCTAGGAGCCCCCAAAATCCCCTGCGCAGCCGCATTCTGGATCAACTGGAGCCTCCGGATGCTCCCCAAGGGGAGCCCCATGTAGAGGGCGTTGCAATAGTCTAGGCGCGAGATGCTCACTTTTCTTCTCAGATTCTGTCATTTCATGAAAGGGAGAAAGGAATTTATCCTAAATGTGCTGTTCCAGCCTTCCAGAGTTAATATGCCTTTTTAGCTTGAGTAGTATTGCCAAAGAGTTTTTTTTTTCATTTTGTATGCAGTGCCCACCTATAACACAGGATTAAAACAGAATGTAGCTACGTGTGATCCACAACTATGAAATGACAATTTGCACGACGGTTTTCCTTAATTCCTTACACAGGGAAGCGAGTCTTGCAAAATGTTGCTTTTCACAGGCTCTTTCGTTTACAGGAGATTACATTTTGAATGTCTTCCGCTTCTTCTGGATTTGTAGACAGCGTGTGCATTTATCAGGCATTTTATTAAAATTCCTAATCAACAACCTGAACCCACAAATTGACTTTGGTAGCATTATCTTAGCCTTGCATTATTACGTTAAACACTTCTTGTGGCTGCATTCTCTAAGAGGATTTATTTATCAGTTATAACTATAATTCTAATAGCATTTTCTTTCCTGCACCATTAAAAACTTTTCCCAGGTATGGAGACTATAATCCAGTGGTTCTCAACCTTTTTAATGCCGTGACCCCAACCGGTCGTAAGTCGAGGACTAAACCTGTCGTAAGTCGAGGACTAAACCTGTCGTAAGTCGAGGACTAAACCAGTCATAAGTCGAGGACTACCCAACCGGTCATAAGTCGAGGACTTTCCCTGCCCGGGAGCGCCGCGCATGCGTAGTTCCGCCCCCTGCGCCGGCTGAGGCGTAGCTGGCTGAGGCGGCAGAGACGGAGCAGGCCGACCACCAGCTGGCCCAGCCCAAGGGAGGTAAGGCACCCGCCGGAAAAGGGGAAAAAAATGGACAAAAAAAATGGCGGACAGCCTTGCTTGGCGACCCCCGTGAAATGGTCGATCGACCCCAAATGGGGTCCCGACCCACAGGTTGAGAACCACTGCTATAATCCATGGAATGCTGGCTGGGGAATTCCGGGAGTTGAAGTTCAGACATCTTAAAGTTGCCAAGGCTGAGAAACACTGGTATAAAACAATTGTATACATGGTTATAACTAATAGATACAGTTACACAAGGCATTGATCTGTATAATGGAGAAAAATGAGTGGTATCTTTACTCGGTTCACCACAGATCCTTCAGCAATGGGATTTTATGAATCAGAATGAAATAACTTCCACGTGCTTAAATGTCTGAGGAGATTTTCAGTCATCCAGATCATGGTTATCTCAAAGTGCTTTTTCAAAAGGCAAGTGGACTTTTTTTTTTCCTTTTTGAAAAAACAGTCCAGTTGCCTTCTGAAAAAGCACCTTTGAGTTTCCATACACCTAGTATCCACGTTATGCTAAATTTGGTCTTACCACCAAATCTAGCATTTTGTTGTTGTTAGTTGTGAAGTCGTGTCCGACCCATCGCGACCCCATGGACAACGTTCCTCCAGGCCTTCCTGTCCTCTACCGTCTTCTGGAGTCCATTTAAGCTCACGCCTACTGCTTCAGTGACTCCATCCAGCCACCTCCTTCTCTGTCGTCCCCTTCTTCTATTGCCCTCAATCTTTCCCAGCATTAGGGTCCTCTCCAGTGAGTCCTTCCTTCTCATTAGGTGGCCAAAGTACTTGAGTTTCAACAAATCTAGCATAAGGTGCCACAGAAACAGATCATTGTCCTGTTGCATGACTGAATGTTGGTCAAGTTTGGTTGGTTGTATAAACAGAGGCATAAAATCAAAATCACGTGAAGTATATTAGTAACACATTACGAACCTTAGTAAGACCACACCTGGAATACTGAATCCAGTTTTGGTCACCACATTACAAAAAAGATGTTGAGACTTTGGAAAAAGTGCAGAGAAGAGCAACTAGGATTATTAATGGCCTGGAGACTAAAACATATGAAGAGCAGTTGCAGGAATTGGGTAAGGCCAGGCTAGAGAAAAGAAAGACTAGGGGTGACATGATAGCAGTATTCCAGTATTTGAGGGGCTGACACAAAGAAGAGGGGCCAAAAAGAGGGGATCAACTTATTTTCCAAAACACCAGAAGGCAGGACAAGAAACAATGGATGGGAACTAATCAAGGAGAGAAGCAACCTGGAATTAAGGAGAAACTTCCTGACAGTGAGAACAATTAACTAGAAGAACGGCTTGCCCACAGAAGTTGTGGATGCTCCATCACTGGAGGTTTTTAAGAAGAGATTGGATAGCCATTTGTCGTAAATGATATAGGGCAGTGGTGGCGAACTTATGGCACGGGTGCCAGAGGCGGCACTCAGAGCCCTCTCTGTGGGCACGTGTGCCATTGCCCCAGTCCTAGGCCTTCAGCTGGGTTTTATAAAACCTTTTCGCTTTAGGCCTCCGCTGCCATGTGCAAAAAAAAAAAAAAAAGGTTCAATCAGTCGATTTCAACTTCTCGCGGAAAAAAAAGATCTTGCAAAGTTGGAATTGATTGATTGAACTTTTTAGTCCCACCCAGTCTGCCATTACCACCGCAGCCACACCCACCCAATTGGCCATGCCCAGCCAATGGGCCATACCCACCCGGCACCTGACGATGCATAAGTGGGTTTTGGGTTGCAGTTTGGGCACTCGGTCTCTAAAAGGTTCGCCATCACTGTACTAAGGATTTACACAACTGTCTCCAAGACACTAAAGGGAGCAAGGGACCTTATTTACCTTGTGAAGCTATAAAACTGCCAGGTGAAGAAATTTAACAACCCAAACAGATTACCTAATGCTCCCCTTATTTGAAAAAAGAAATGGATATTAAACATCCATTGTTTGTTCCATAAATGTTCTGCAAGCTATGCGGTTTGGCGTATGAAAATAACATGCTGAAACTTGCTATTTAAAAAAATAATCATTATAGGATAATAATACATTACCAGGAATCCCTATAAAAGACGGTTTGCTTTTCACTGTATAGACACGAACAAATTCCTACGGCAAACTAAGGGAGCCAACATGGCGGTTAGACAAAATTTAAGCCAGAAGATTGTCAGAAGGAAAATAAATCTTAGTTTAAAAACTCTCGGTAGATGGTCTGTTGATGTTTAACTGCCAAATGTTTTAGAAGGAACAGGATGAAAATTAGCTTCCTTTTGCACGACAGATAATATATCGTCGAAGTTTGGAGAAGTTTAGATTTAAACCTGAAAGAGCAAGGGCTCCATTGAGTGCCGAGTCACTAAATAAACTCTGGATCCAACTGTTTGTGGGAATGCAAGGTTATGTTGGGTGCCTTCTACAAAGAACGAACTCTTCTGGTTGTCAAATGCCTGGATTTTAATCCTGTGGCCATGGGGAAGGCTTTGATGGTCATGAATGCAAGAACCAATTGTAAGCCACTTTTTTCAGCACCGTTGTAACTTTAAATGATGATGATGATGATGATGATGATGATGATGATGATGATAATAATAATAATAATAATAATAATAATAATAATAATAATAATAATAATAATAATAATAATAATAATAATAATAATAATAAAGTTGGAAGGGACCTTGGAGGTCATCGAGCCCAACCCCCTGCTCAGACAGGAAACCTTACACCATTTCGG